TGGATGTTACCCAGTTGGACTGCTTGTGATCAAACACACAACCACCACCCCTTCCCTGAGATTCAAAGGCAATTCACAGCACCGAATGTCAGTGACAGACCATAAAAGAGATATTAAAACAAGCAGGAAACCTGGCGGCAAACCGGCAAATGCATTTAAAGGAAGCATTTTTAAAAATGCATTTGCCAGCTGGCAGCCAAGTTCGTCCAAGTTGACATTTCTTGGCTCTTTGTTTATCAAGGGAAATTGATAAACAAATAGTCAAGGAATACCTTGTTACTTTGAAAGCGTTCAGATCTCCACAGCATCCAAGAGTTTTGAAGGAACCGGCTGAAAAACTCTGAGAACCACTGTCTATTATTTTATTGAAAACACGGAGGCTGGATGAAGTGCCACATGACTGGAAGAGGGTCAACATTGACTCTATCTTCAAAAAGAAGGAAGCAGAAAACTACAGACCAGTCAGACTGACATCATTATCAGAGAAAACTCTGGACCAGATTATAAAGTGGTCACTCTGCAAGCACCTAGAAAACAATGCAGCAATAACTAGAAGCCAACATGGATCTGGGGAGAATAAATCCTGCCAAAATAATCTTATCTCATTTTTTGATTGGGTAGCTCCCTGGTGGACAGTAGGAATGCTGTAGACATAATATATCTTGCTTTCAGCAAAACCTTTGACAAAAAGCCCTGTGATGTTCTGATTAGCAAGCTAACTAGGTGTGGGCTGGATAAAACAACTGTCAGGATACACCGTTAGTTATAGAATTGTATGCAGAGGATGATGATCAATGGCTTCTTCTCAAACTGGGCGGAGGTAACAAATGGGGTACCATAAGGCTCAGTCCTGCTCTTCAACATTTCTATTAATGACTTTGCTGAGGGAGTACAGAGTATGCACAAACACACACACACACACACACACACACACTTCTAGCTGGCCAATTATGGCACCATACATGGAAAAGAATGAGGGAGTAGATTCAGCCTGCATGGGGTAAGTCTTGTTTCCAGAAGTACTGCTTTTGTTCTGTTCTCCAGTGGGAACAGATCTTTTGTGAGGCTAATAGGTTTTAATCACTGTTATGAAACCAAGCCATCTCCAAATACATCTGGGAAAACTTGCATTTTTGCAAGGGAAAAACCAGTTCCCTACAGCTAGCATGGGGAACCCAGCAAAGCTCAAAGAGGACACAGAAACTGGGAGGCAGTGGTGACAAATTCTGTGACACCACACACATATAATCTGTATGATCTGGCACTTTAACTGTATGAGCCAGGACATCTGCACACCACTGCAATATACTGTGGTCTGTCACTCATTATTGCTAATCCTCTCTCTGTTTTCAGAGTGAGTCACCCAACTCCTAGAAGCAACAATATAAACCAAGCTCATTGAGCAGTATCATTTAAAATCAGAAATCCTCTCCATTCTTTCCGGCAAAGCATGGCAAGGGGAGTCTGGTGTTATGAAAGGCCAGCCCCATAAATTCAGCTTTACCAGGTTTATGTACATTTACATCCCGTTCTTTCCTCCCTTCAACTCAAGGCAGCACATACGGCTCTTCTTCTGCCCATTTCCTCTTCACAACAGCCCTGCGGGGTAGGCAAGGATAAGAGGGAGAGAGGAGAGCAACTGGCCCAAGGATCCCCAGTGAGTTTCAGGAATCAGAGAGGGCAAATCAACGCTTTAGCTGCTGCAGAACAGTTGATGATAATAACTGTGTGCCGTTGGGTCAGTTTTGACTTATGGTAACCCTTTTCAGTTTTTTCTAGGTAGAGAAGTGGTTTACCCTTCCCGTCTTCTGGGGGAACCCTCGGACGGTGCAGCTTGCCCAAGGCTATACAGGCTAGCTCTTCTGGAATGCACAGAGGGGAATCGAACACTCTTCACAACAGCCCTGCGGGGTAGGCAAGGATAAGAGGGAGAGAGGAGAGCAACTGGCCCAAGGATCCCCAGTGAGTTTCAGGAATCAGAGAGGGCAAATCAATGCTTTAGCTGCTGCAGAACAGTTGATGATAATAACTGTGTGCCGTCGGGTCAGTTTTGACTTATGGCAACCCTTTCCAGGGTTTTCTAGGTAGAAACGTGGTTTACCCTTCCCGTCTTCTGGGACTGTGCAGCTTGCCCAAGGCTATACAGGCTAGCTCTTCTGGAATGCACAGAGGGGAATCGAATACCCAACTCGGGCTCCACAGTCAGATACCTAAACCTCTGAGCTATAATATATAAGAGCTTAGAAATGTGTTTCCTAGCCTGCTGGGGTTACACTGTGGGTGAAAATCCTTCTTGAAGCAGGCTTCATATTCCTACCCTGGACCCAGAGCAGATCTGGTACCCTACCTGGTTTCTGTGCCAGGTATCGAGAAGGGACGAGGTGCTGCTTCCTCCTTCAGCTAGGCAGCAACCTGCTTCTTGTCACCAATGGCGACTGGGCAGATGTTTAGATTCAAGTTTGCAAGAGCTGTGTGTGACCCATTTATAAACCCTTCATCCAGCTTCCTGGCACTTGCCTGTGGATCAGGGACCCGCCTATCTGTGATAAAGTCCACATGCCTTGTGTGAGTTGGTGGCCGGTCCACCACTCGACAGAATTGGCTTTTTGTTTTTATTGTTCGCCCACATTGTTTTGCTGCATGGCCCACAATCTATCTCTCTCCCTCTCACTTGGCATCTCTTCTCCTCTCTCTTCCTGCGTTGGTCTGTTTTGGTCAAGCCTTCCATCATTCCTCTTCAAACTATCCCTTTCCCCACTACCAAACTATCCGGCATTCTGTCACCAACAGTAATATCTTACTTTGCCGTCCAGCTTCCTAACCAGTCTATCCATCTAAGTACTGTATATATTTTAGTGGTGGCCGGTCCACCACTCGACAGAATTGGCTTTTTGTTTTTATTGTTCGCCCACATTGTTTTGCTGCATGGCCCACAATCTATCTCTCTCCCTCTCACTTGGCATCTCTTTTCCTCTGTCTTCCTGCATTGGTCTGTTTTGGTCAAATCATCCATCATTCCTCTTCAAACGATTCCTTTCCGCACTACCAAACTGTCCGGCATTCTGTCACCAACATAATATCTTACTTTGCTGTCCAGCTTCCTAACCAGTCTATCCATCAAAGTACTGTATATATTTTAGTTTCATCATGTGTGTGTGTGTTTGTTTATAAAAGGCAGGGTGGAAGTGTGGTCCATGAACTGCAGGCAGTTCCGTAGGCATTTTCATGCTCCCCCCCACCCCGTCCCAGGTTCGCATTAGACACACATACACACACCGCTTTAAAATATATGCAAAAAGGGGGCGGAAGGGGTGGGAGAAGAAACAGTCTGAGCACTTAAGGCTTGCAATCTAAACACAAGGTGGGGAGGAGAAAGGGGGGGGGGAAGGTGCAATCCAGGCACAAGTTCCTCATGTTATGAGCCTGGTGGAGTGGAGTGGTTTTATAGGATGTAAAAAGGAATGTAATGTAAGATTCTGTATCCACGGAGTCCAGGGCTTTTAGCTTCAGGTGCTGGCCACCAGGTCTGCAAGTAAGTAAGGCATGAAAACAACTGTCCTGTCCCAGATTGTCTACACACACACACACACACACACACACACACACACACTTCAAAGGACCCTATGGATCATCAAATCCAGCCCCTGTCAGGGAGGCACAGTAGGGAATCGAACTCTCAACCTGTAACTAAGACACAGAGCTATCCTGCACAATTTCATTTATATCTCGGATTTCCTCCGAGGAGCTCTAGAAAACATATGTGGCGCTCGACTCGAAATACCCTCCAGAATAGGTCAGGCTAAGAGAGAAAGAGTGCCACTGGCCTTAGCTACAGCCAGTATGTTCCAGGGCTCAGGGTGGATTAGAACCCAGATCTTCCCAGTCCTGTACTTTAAACACTCCATCACAATAAGGACCTCCCCTGGCTTTGGAGGTCCGCTTAGCTTTTTCAGGCGAAAGGCCCCCTCCCCTGTCATTTTGTTGAAGGTATGTCAGCCATACTCTGCATTTCTGTTCTCGAGGCGATCTCTGTCGCACGCAGGAGTCAATTCTGTACAGCCCCTCCATGCTGCTCGGATTAACTAGGGTGCAACTTCTCTGGACTGTTTTGTTTTTTTAAACTAGCATCCTGACATCTCTCATTCCCTGCATTCGGGCACTTGTGGCTCTCCTTTTTGGGGTGGAGGAATCTCGCAGGGAGAAAACAAAAATCCTTCCTACAACTCCCAGAATGTCCAACCTGAATGCCCAGTTCCTTTCACAGAGAGAAATACAGAGGGCAAGCGTAAGGGGCCTTTTGACTGGCAACACTAGCAGCTTAGCAGCACAGAAAGATAAAAGAGGGGCGAAGCAGTGGACGGGGGTTGGGGAGCAGCAGGGTTTCAAAGGGTGGCTGCTGTCTGGACCTCCCATGAAATCCTGCAACCAAGGCAGGGCAACTGAACCCCGTATGGAAGCACCCTTTCTCTCCACCCGGCTTTCTTATCTTTCTCCCCTCCCCTCCCACTCTCTCTCCCCCTCCATTCAGCTGTGCATACATGAAGTGAGAAACCGCATTAAGTGAGAAGCCGCATACGGACCTGCCTGTCCGAACACAGAGTTTGGCATAAGTTCCTTTGAGGGACTATAATGACCAGGGTCCCCCAAGCCAGCAGCTCTACATGAGACTTGTATTTTTTTTTTTAAAAAATGAAATTTTCAACTTCCTAAGTTCTGCAACTTTTCCAAGTCCAGGAACATCTCCAGCAGACACCAGAGTTATCTATTCATCCTCCACCATCACCATCCCTCTCTTTCTCCTGGATTCACCAATTTCAAGCCTGATGGTTTCCACACCAGTCTGTTCTTCACCAGAGGTGTAAAAAAAACCCAACAACAAACAAAAACCCAAACCCATTATTTCCTATTAAAACATCCCACGCTTTGCCTCTCTCTCCCTCTCCCCCACCCCACCTGCCTTCAGCCACATCAGCTCTCTGCTGTGAGCTCGCTCTTCTTACTTGCCCAAGTCGGATGCTCTCCGCACTCCTCGGCTGCTCCTCACTCGTTCACTCCCTCGCTCTCCTTTGCCTGGCCCCTCTCTCTCTCTCTCTCTCGTTCTCTGTCCTGCCTTGGAGAAAAAAGACCAAGTCAGAGAGGAGGCGAGAGAGCAGCGTGCTGGCCACGGACTTTCCTGGCTCAGAGCAAGGCTGGGGTGTGAGCAAGCATATGTGCATCACTCCCTAACACACACACACACACAGAGCTTGAGAGAGAGAGAGAGAGAGAGAGAGAGAGAGAGAGACTCATTCACTGCTTTGCAAAGTTTGGAAGCGAAGCCAGTCAGGCGCACACAAAACACCATGAGATCATAACAGGAATGGCTGATAACCATCTTGGCACTCTGCTAAGGATGCTTCCCAAGCCCTCATGCTTTCATCTGGGACACACATTTCCCGCACACACGCACACACACACATATGCACACATTCCTTCTGTCTGACAGGTAACTCTGGTCCATTATAATGGCCTTATCACCTGCCTAGGAACCTCATTTGGTTCCCCCCTGTCCAGTCTCTCCCCTCGTCCTGCTTCCACACCATGACTAAAAAAAGCTGCCCGTGGGTTGGAGGACAAACCCAAGTTTCCTCCTAGCATTGCTGCTCCCGGGGAAAGGGGTGATCCTAAGCAGATACTGCCAAACAATGGTCAGGTCCACTGGGAAGCCATCCTTGCTGTGGGAGGTGTGGGAGGGGTGTGTGTGTTTCTTAGGCCATCCCCAAAGGGCGCAAGCTTTCAAGATCCCAGGTCTCTTCCTTTGTTACAAATTAAGAGGGGAAAGGCTTGATTTTAAGGGCAAGTTGTGGTTATCTGCCATAAAGTTGTCTCTGATTTATGGTGATCCTATGAAGAAGTGACCTCCAAAATTTCTTGCCCTCATCAGCTCTATTCAGCTCTTAGAAACGCAAGGCTGTGGCTTCCTTTAGGGACTCACTCCATCTCATATTTGCACTTCCTCTTTTCCTGCTGGCTTCCACTTTTCCCATCATTATTGTTCCCATCATCCAGAGAATCCTGTCTTCTCAGGATGAGCTCAAATTAGAACAGCCTCAGTTCCGTCATTTTTCCCTCAGAGAAAGTCTGGACTTGATTTGCTCCAGGATCCACACGTTCATCTTTCTGATAGCCCAGAGTATTGGCAAAACTCTCCTCCACCACCGCATTTCAAACTAATCAATTTTTCCCCTGTTCATTTTCTTGGCTATCTGGCAAGTAATCTTCGTGATATCTTGAGAGATGTAACAGTGAAAAAAGGTGTTTCAAGCAGGCAAGGGAGGTTCATGGACTTGGACAAGGAGGCTACCTCACCCCAAAATTTCAGGGATGTTCCCCTTGACCTGGTCCAAAGACATCATTACAATACAGTGGGGCTTACAGGTAATGTAGCGATGTTAGGATTATAATAACAATTAAGGGGAGGATTACTATGACATGTCATATTTTTTCTATGACATGTCATATTTTTTTCTGCACCAATGTTTGAATTTATAAGTGGTTTTGGACATGTTTATGAGTAATCCGGTGGAAAAAAAGGCCAGATTACCCATATAAACCTGTTTAAACTTGCTTGTGGGTTCAAGTATAGGTTGCAGAGAAAGTGTGAAATGTCCTAGAAATCCTTCCTCTAATAATAATCTTAAAACTGCAGAACTGGAAGGGGCCCTAGAGATCAATGGTTGGAAATCACTATTATAGATCTTCAAATCCTGCCCCTGACAAGGAGGCACAATGGGGAATTGAACTTCCAACCTCTGGCTCTGCCACCAGAGACCTAATACACTGAGCTATCCATAAGCTTGCTGGGAACGGGGAAGCTGGAAAAGTTTTGTCTTCACTCTTAGGCAGCATGTATCACCAGAGTAAACTTGGAGTTGCTCCATGTTGCTTCCATGGGGAAGACACTGACTGACATAGCTTCCTATTCCACGTAACAGGAATAGTGGAGGATTTTGTTTCAGTTGGTTTTTGAGGGGGTGAAATCACCAAAATTTATAAAATGACCTCCGTGTTTGGAATGGGAAACAAAACTGAAGTCAAAATATTTTGAATGCAGGAAATACTAACATGGATCCTCTCATCTGAGCCCAAACCTCTGAGTGTTTAAAAGTTTGGACTTGAAATCTCATGAATTTAAATCTGTTAGGCCCAAGTAGTGCATGCCAGTGGAATAACCTAGTGGATTCAATGCAATTGATTCAAATGATATACATACAATAGATATTGATTTCATTCAGTATTCCATCAAATTCATGCTGAATCAAGGTTGCCACCTCTGTTTGTTTGTTTGTTTTCCTGGCAGGTGTTCATCTTTAGCATCTATATGGCAGGCAAGTAAAACATGTTCCTCTCCATATGGACAACAGCTACTGAATTTGGCCAAGAACAAATAGGGTGAGAAATTCATCTTAGTTTCATACTTTATTTATTTATTTTATTTATTCTATTTATACCCCGCCTATCTGGTCATTTTGTTATAAGACATGTGAATATTGGGAAGTACATACAGTAGGATTTCTGTATCCGCATGGGATTGGTTTCAAGCCTTCTGCAGATCCTGAAAAACATGGATTGTTGTTGTTGTTTAGTCGTTATGTCCAACTCTTTGTGTCCCCATGGACCAGAGCACACCAGGCCCTCCTGTCCTCCACTGCCTCCCGGAGTTCGGTCAAATTCATGTTGGTCACTTCAATGACACTGTCCAGCCATCTCGTCCTCTGTCGCCCCCTTCTCCTCTTGCCTTCACACTTTCCCAACATCAGGGGCTATTTCAGAGAGTCTTCTCTTCTCATGAGATGGCCAAAGTATTGGAGCCACAGCTTCAGGAACTGTCCTTCCAGTGAGCACTCAGGGTTGATTTCCTCCAAAATGGATAGGTTTGATCTCCTTGCAGTCCAGGGGACTCTCAAGAGCCTCCACCAGCACCACAATTTAAAAGATTCAATTCTTCGGCGGTCAGCCTTCTTTATGGTCCAGCTCTCACTTCCATACATTGCTACTGGAAAAGCCATAGCTTTTACTATGCAGACTTCCTCCGAAGACGCAGGCGTCTTAATTTCATGGCTGCTGTCACCATCTGCAGTGATCACGGAACCCAAGAAATTAAAATCTGTCACTGCCTCCATATCTTCCCCTTCTATTTGCCAGGAGGTGATGGGACCAGTGGCCATGATCTTAGTTTTTTTTTTATCTTAGTTTTATTAACTTCATCTTTAGAAAGATATATATTTCTAGGATTTTTCTTTTAATATTTTGAGACCATGGATAGGCAAATCAGCACTGATCCTGGAGATAAGGGGTTCCTACTGTATATCAGAATGAACCAAAGGAAACGGGTGAACATTTTGTTTGGTTTATGTATATATGGTCTATGTTACAGTCAGATCAGTCTTTTGCTCTATGCCATCTACATAATCAGGGGTAAAGAAGTATGCCTACCTGGCCACATGCACTGCTCCAGCCTCCTTACTCACACTCCCCTCCACAATCTGAAGCAAACTACATCCTGAATGCTGATGGGGGGGGGGACGACGCCATTTGCTTTTCTTGAGCCAGTCTCTTCTCAAGGGGGTCTCGAGGGTCCCTGTGGTGGAGTCTGCAGCCCTACAAGGTTCATCTGGGGTGTGTGTGGCGAAAATGATCCTAGTTCCTTCAGAAGTTGTGTACCCCTGCTCATGATACTAGAACTTCAGGGGCCACCTAACAGAAAGGCTGGCAGCATCTTCTAGGCAGACAGAGACAAGCGAGATGACCCTCAGAACTGCTCTCCCTACTAGAAAGCACAGGTGCCACATAGGTTTATCTAAAGTGTTTATGATCTTGGCCTTTCTCCCAGGCCACGTGATGTTCCAGGTGGCAGGATTTGGGTTTGAGGGGTTCTTGAGGCAGTCCAGATATGTATGAGAAAGCCTTTTTGTTGTTGTTGATTGTACCATCATCTGTCTGAAGGCTGACACTGCCTTTCTGGCTTCTCACACTTCACTTAAAGCCCAAGGGGGAAAAGGTCCGGACTGAGGCAACCTCTTTGCGTGGGTCTTCTTGAGATGGATTGGGAAGCAGAGCATATGTCTGGTCTCTGGGTGTCTGTGA